TAAGAGCATGGAGATATTCTGTATGCCACTTCCTATTCAGCTGAATAGAAAGAATGCCTTCGTTGACTTGTACTTCTGAAGTTTAAATTAATGAAAAAGCAACTCATTTGCATTTCCTGATGAAAGTAAAAGGATTTCTCAGAGGAATGTATGAATTTCTCACATCCACAAGACAAGTGGCTGACACCGTACAGCCACACACCATTCAAAAAGCGAGCACACAGTGTTTGGACTCTCCCGGCAGAACATTGTGGGGGTGAGGCAGGGAATACTCCATGGTTGTTTTGTTTCCTTAGTTAGGCCCACTTAATTTGAATATTTTGTTTTGTTTTGTTTTTACTCTTGCACTATAGTCTAGAGATCCAAATGAGCTGAAAAGTTCAAAGTTTAAGAGATATTTAAATGTTTCTTTTTAGCCATTCTAGTCATTGTTGATTACCAGCATGACTCCTGAAGTAAAAGGGAATAAAGATCAATTCATAGTAATTTTCAATGAAACACTTAGCATAGAAATGTTTTATTTTTAACCAAACAAAATAATGTATAAAGAATGTCATGTCATTTATTGTCAATTTATCTAGAAAACCTATAATATGTAGATTACCTACACATAATATATGGAACATAGCCAAATATATGAAAATGACTAATTTGGAATTCATGCCCTCCTTACACAGAGAAGTATAAAATTAAGTTACAACTTTCATAAGACTTTTCTTTTTCATCACTGTTGATACAGTTTGAGGCATTCCACCATGTTATTTCTATTCTTTTCTTTATTTCCTTTTTCAAACTATATTTTTAACCAGACCAGGCCCCACTGTAATATCTCTTGAGAGAGTCAGGGCAAAGTCTGCATTTAGGAAGATGTATTTGTATTAAAGAAAATTTAATGGAGTTAAGTGGTAATGGAAGCCAAAATACAGTAATCAAGTATTAAAAGAAACTTGTGGCAAGACTGGAGTATTACTATAGCTTGTGAAAAAACATAAGGCTGCAGATTCGTTGCAGCATTCTTGTTTTCTCGAAGGAATTCACAGACACATAGCTGACCTGACTAGTTCTTCAGATCTCAGGCTGCTCTTCCACAGCCACCTGTGAGGTTCTTTACTGTGCAAAGAAAACAAAAACAAAAAACAAAAAAAAAAAGAAAAAGAACAAAAAAAACAAAAAAAGCAAAACAATAAAAAACCAGAAAACAACAACAACAAAAAAAGAATTCAACCACAAAGTAGTGATTATTATTTCAGTGTGTCCTTCATATGAAAGCTGTTAAGGACCAAATATACTGCTGTGTGTAAGAAGAAAATACTTGTTGAACAGTAACTGAAAATACTTAGCGTTAACTTGCTGTGGATTTTGTCTTGGCAGTTGTCACCTTACATTATTTGTCAAAGGAAATGTGTTTGGCAGTTAAAAACCTTTCCTTAGATTTAGTGGTGGACTTTAACCTCTTAAGTAAATGTTAGTATATCAGATTGTGTCCTTGAAAAATATTTTACTTGTATGAATCATGACAATGTCTAAATCTTTACTATTCTTCTGGCAAAAGCATCAGTGAGAGAGGAGAGAAAGAGAAGTGTAGCCTTTACACCAGAAAAAATACCTTTTTAACTACTTACTTTCTCTTGAAAAGTAAAGATGTTTACAGTGTATGCCAAGATTTTCAGTTTCTATATAACAACAGTTAGAGGTTCTAATCATACTGAAAATTGTGTTATAATGGCCTGAACCATGTTGCTAGGAAACAATAGGTTCCAATTTTGTATTCCTGCTCTCACTCCTATGCTGAAAAGTGACTGGATACTGTACAGGTACATGTTCTTTGGCTGTAGTTAAATGGTCTTTTGCATTTTGCTCTGGCTTTCATGCCAGAAGCATGCATTTTTCTACAAGAGCATCACAACAACATGCTGTAAATATTTAAAGTTAAACATTATGTGTCGATATTTGAAAGAAAAGTACTTTGAATATTTCATTTTTAAAAAATAAAGTTGCAAATGGCCACTGTGTCCCATTTTATTCATGCGCCAAACTGCATTCTCTAATCAGTCTGCTCACCTGCAATGGGATAAGTGGCTCCCTCACAGGAAACAGTGAAACCAAGTCATCTTGAAAATGTAGATGTGGAAATCAGTAAGGCACCAATTCTAGCTGGACACCTCTTCATTTTTACAAATAGAGTCTTTGATACAAATGAATACTTAATAAAGAGTAACTGCTGTAAATGTAAATGCTTCCAGACCAAGATTTTTTAAAAAGGTTTCATTCTATTCTTTTGGTGACTTTCTTATCAATAGAAAGAAAACTAAAATTTGAGAAAAGAGTTGGAGAACTAGGAGACCATGGTATCCAAATCATTGACAAAAATAATGATGATGATGATGAATATGGGATATAGAAGATGACTCGGACCTCTCAAATGACTCTGCTTGAATGCAGAACAATAACTTCACCATCAGTTAAATGGAGCCCTATTTCCATGTACTTATGTGTACAGAGCTGGCTAAGCTATTTCATTCTCACTTCAGTTGGCTCTAAGAAATGTAAATAAGGCTGAGGTACTAATGTGTAATCTTTGAACCAGCTGACAATTTCCTGTTTCCTCACCTCCTGTCTCCCGATAAATGGTTGAGCATGGCAGGATGGCAGAGCCACATAGCTCCAGGAATGTTAACTGGGTTTAAGTGCACAAAAGTTTACATATCAGAAACTAAAGCAACAGTTCCCTAACATTCAAATGCTCCCCTAAATGAGTTGTATAGATTCATCTTTCTGCATACTCTTTTCTCTGTATGTTACAGAGATGCTTTCTAGCTTCCTAGCTAAGCCTAGCCAGTCTCAATTCCCTCCATTCTCACAATCACTCATCCTCGAGCCACTCCCTTCTTCACAAGTTATTAAATTCTAAATGAGGCACTGAAGAAGGCCTCTGTGCTGTAAAGCCTCACCTGGACTGGATGGACTCAGGGCTCCTTTGCTCCCTATAACTATGAATGTGCCTTACTGTCTTTATTCTCGCCATGGGTTTGTGGAGGTGGTAGACTGGAATTAACTCACCAGGATTCCAATAACATAGATGGAGAATGTAAAGCAAAGTGGGAAAAAAAAGCTTTTTTTTGAGACCGTACACCACAAGCCATAACAATTGCCTTTTGCCACTTATTTTCCACAGTGAGACAATATGAAGGGACACTGAGAAAGCTACCCAAAAGATCTTCAAAAGCTCAAATTGATACTGGTGAGGTGTGTATAGTCCAAACAACCCACTACAAAACTTGGTTTTGTAGCACTGCAAAATTTCCTGCTTCTTTTTTATTCATTGACATATACATACAGATATGATTCAGGATGCAGAATGCAATATTGATTGTCTCAAATCAACCCATCAGCAAAAGGGGAGGGGAGTATCTGTACCACTTGTGCATGTGTTTCAAAATATATATCCTACTCAACCTTCAGAGCATCAAAAAAGCAGGAGCTCCTACAGTTATACAATTATTAAAGAGCCTTCTCCATATTCTTCCCCTATTCACCCTCACTTTCAAAGATTTGAATATCAGTGCAATCAGACATACACTACCACCTTAAAGTTATATAATTCTAGGACCTCAATAATCCTATGGGGTAAAACTTAACTATTCCTATTTGGCAAGTATAACACCACCAGTCTCACTTACCTGAGTTCACAGTGAAAATCAGCAAGAGAGATAAAAAGAAAATTCATGTCTCATGCATTCTGGCTTTAACACTTTCTAAATGTGAGTGTGGCATAAATTTTTTTTCATCTTGTGAGAGAACAATTCCATTCTCATGAGACTGTGTGCAACTGAGATCTGTCTATGTATGTCTATATAAATATTCCATAAATATATGTTGTTGGGTACTCTTCAGTTTGTCACATTTGTTGTATCTTTCTACATTGAAAAATCTTGACTTAAGAACCAAATGACTAAGCCAAGTGTGGTAGCACACACCTGTAATCCCCAGCACTTGGGAGGCTGAGACAGGAGGACTGTTGCGAGTTTGAGACCAGCCTGGGCTTCAAAATGAGCTAAAGGCCAACCTGAACTGCATAATGAGATCCTGTCTCAAAAAGACAAAACAAACAAAAGAACCAAATGATCCAACGATAAAAATCCAGCCTTTCACTGCAAGTGTGGTCAGTGACACCAAACTTAAAAACTGTTCAAGTTAAGTAGCTTATTCACTTCTAGCTGAAAGCTGAAAAAAAAATGGTATCCCATTTACTGCAGGGGTAAACATAGGTAACAAAGCTGAATTCTTACACCCAAACAGGAAAAGTAGACATCCTATAACCTTGAAATGCTCTAAGGAAAATCTAGGTTTATTATTAATAAGTTCTTGATTCAGAGCTCAGTAGAATAAATCAAATAAAACAAGCTGATGTAGAAATATTAACGGATTTTAAAACATTTATAATGTCCTATCCATTCCACCTCAAAAGAATATCTTAAACCTAGCCCTTTATACCAGAGGACATAATCAGAAGTATTCTCTGCAGTCTTATTGTACCCGTGCTGTACTGCAAAGTTCCCTGCCTGTAACAGTCAAACAGACTACCTAACCTTGTCTGCCTACTGACCTTATCTCTTAAGAACAAGTTTCAGAGGAAATGAACAAGTATTTGATAAGCTGTCATGTTCCTTGTAAGCTTCCTAATACATTTTTTTCTCCTGAAGCAAGGTGTATGCTTGGAAATATGTGTGCATGTTTCCACCTTGACTTGGCCTCTTGCAGGTATGTGTTAACATAGAAATATCTTAGATACAGCTATGTGCTTTCTGTAGGCGCAACTTATTACATACTGGGAAATAACAAGGATATTCATGTTGAGAGTGAAAAGATAGAAAAAATTGGCAAATAAAAGACCAGCCCAAGAAGAGACAGGTAGGTTCATCAACTGGAATATTTACCAATAGTAAATTAAGAAAAGCATTTATATTTTCCAAGGAATCAGGCCAATAAAACAAGGAAGCTCTTCATCAGTTCCTTGTTTATTAATAGCATCTGTCCCTGAATATTGTTAAAGTAATATTTTAAGACAAATTAGATACACAAAGCTTTCAAATATTTTGTTACAATATTAAAGATCACTAATGATGCCAGAAAGCTTTTTCAAGAATGGCTTTTGTAAAAGAACATACAAATGTCACTCATTTAGTCCAGAACTAACAAATTAGCATAAAAATTAGTAACAAGTACTAAAATTTAAACTCAAGCTACAAATAATTAGAATGTATTTAAATATATGCATTTTGGGAACTTTTTGAAGTTACAAACAGCACTTTATTAAATACTCTGTGATTCATTTCTTTTTTAATTAAGTTTATTGGTACATTTAGATATACATAAGGATCACGTTCATCATAGGATGCTTGTACCTGTACATAATATATCTTGAGCATTTTTTCCAATTGCCTCCTCCCTTCCTCATTTATAGATTTCTTTCTTTTTTCTTTCTTTTTTCTTTTTCCTCCCTTCCTTCCCCCTCGCCCCTCCACAGTTCTCCTTCTCATATGAACATTTTCTTCCTATTTCACAATATCTATTATACATGTTGGTCCTTATTTGCACTTTTGGTTTCTCACGCCAAAGAAGCAGTGTGGAGTTGGCTTCTGAATTCCCTTATAAATTACATTTGATGTTCTTCCTTCAAGAAATGATGAACTGCCCACAATGTACAACCATGGCCGTACTCTACTACACTAAATGTTTAGAAATCAGAACTTGCAGCACATAAAGAGTAGCTCTGTCTTTCAGCAGTTCACTAGTCACTAACCAAGTTCACAGCATTCACACACAGCCCAAAATTCGAGCGTCCTCAGTTTACAATGAAACAGACTTTTCCTGTGGACCAGAGTATTTGTGTTGATTCATCTTTCCTCTAATACCAGATCTACCTACACAGAGACCCTGACTTACATACTTATCAACCTTAATTATTATTTTGTGATTGCCTTTTAAATTTGCTTTTATTATCTTTTACTACTACAGTTTTCTGGTCTAACAAAACAATGGACCATGTGAGGGCAGGGCTCAGATATTTTTACTTCTCTACTCCCCTAGTATCCCATTATGTTTGTAAGATAGATGAATTATTTGACTCTTAAAACAACTTGGCATATAATCATTCACAAAAGTCATTAAAATATAAGTTTTAGAAGAAAATAGTGCATTTTGACTATTACTTAGGTTTCAAAGACTCAGAATTGTTAAAAATGAATGTAAGCATAAGCTTTCAAAAGTAGACTTGTAAGGTTACCTGCAAGGGAGACTGCTTATGCATCAGTTAACCACAAGCTCGAGTTGCTGAAAATTCCTTTGCAAAGGAAAGTTTACATACAGTAGGAAAACTTGGGACAGAGATAAAGCAAAAGAAAAATCCACATCATCAGATTTCTAAATATAATTTCTAATCCTGTAAGCATCAAATACAATAAAAACTTAGAGCCTATTTTAAATTACAAGATTTTAAACTCCAGATTGGTCTACTATATGGAGTCTACTATATGACTACAGATTGGTATACTATATGACATCAGAACATTAGACAAGAAAGTTGCTTTCAAATTTAAGCAGAAATTCTTCACTATTTACCTAGTATTTGTGTCAACAGATAGCTTTATAAATCCCAACAGAGCCTATGACACAATAGCTAGAGGAGAACAGTACGTGACAAAGATGAGGGACGCCAATCACATTCTCAACATACACTCAGGAAAATAGTAACTATCAAATAATATATCACTAAAGTGGGTGCTTTGACAAAAGCTGGGGATTATTTTATTTATGTTTGGCAAGAAGTGACAATATTTTATAAAATATTGATTATACCTTAAATTCTTTCCCATTTGAAAATACAGTAACTGAAATTATTTTTTCTCAATCTTCATTTCAAAGCTTTTCATCATTTACAATGTCCATTTCAGCTTTAATATGAGGCAAGATGCTTGCATTGCAGGACTACAGTTGTGTTAGAAATGCATTTATAGCTCACTGAACTGTATTATCTACATTACACAAGACTTAACATGTATTTAAATTATTGAAAATAAAGTACAAGGTGTTTTCTTTTTCATCATGGTGCTTTCAGGAGAACATCAGAATCTCTTCTCCCTAAAGAAAAACAATAACAAAAGTCAAGAAAAGATAAACTTATAACTATTAAAATTATGGATTAACTCAAACTGTAAAATTTTCCAGTGGCATAAAACTCCTAATAATAGACCACAATGATATACCTTGAGCAACTATTATTTAAAACTGAGTTAGAAAGAATGGAATACTGAGGAGAAAAGAACACTTAGTAGGCCCATTTGTAAATTAGAGCTCTATTTATATTTCTATACCAAAGGCTAACTATTCATTAACTCACTACTTGAATTTAATTGTCAGTTTATGACCAAGCCTGGGTCTCTGTCAAAAACAGGTATAAAAACTCATTTTCTTTTATCATGTGTACTTATTGTTTCAAAGAATGTCTTCTTTCTCCAAACAACCCCTTTCCATAGACAAGTCATCATAGGTTAAATAGCTACAGACATTGTCTGGTCTTCACTCTTCAGAATGACACAAACACTAGAATAGGTTTGCTCAGGATGTGTTACAATCTGTGCCAGTGTAACAATAAAGTTTATTCATTTAATTTCCTTTGCTATAGTAAAGTGAATTCATTTGAGCACCAAGAACAATTCCCTAAGCAAAAATAAAAGAAGAGCCTAGGTATTCTCTGAATTTTCCATCTGTCAAATCATTTGAGCCTATATTAGTAAAGTGAAATGGTAATCATATATCTACAAAAGAGACCATAAGAACAAGATGAAATGAGAAAGTATGACCAGGTAGATTTTTTTTATATTTTTTCCTAGTTTTATTAAAAGCTTACAGTATAGCATATTGAGATTATAGGAGACAAATTAATCATCTATCACTTGACTTGCTGGCTACATCTACATTTTCATTGCATTTTTCTTAAAGAACTTCCAGTTGATTATATACTTAGGAATAGGTTGACTCCAAGCCCTGAACTTCCAAATCCTGTTAAAAAATGAATAGTAATTATACCCATAGTACCTTGTGTACTTCGAGCTGAGGACTTCTTCTCAACTGGATACTGCAGAGGTATTACAATGCCTTGATCTGGCTTCTGAAATGCTGAAATGAGATTTTTTATTTTCCGGAAAAATCTTTTATGTACTCCAGGTGCCGTCTGGAAAATAAAAGGCCAAGCAAATTATTTACCTCATAATTCTATTTTTAAAAACCTACAAAAATGTAAGGGATGTTGAGAGAGGTAAAATTTGTGTAACTTGTTCAAATATTTGAAAACAGGAACAAAAAATAAACATTCAGAAGAGCTTGCTTTGGTTGGCTGACTGTCCCTGCAAGAGGAACTAATGAGCTGTCACTTCAGTTCTCCCAAGGGTGGTATTAGTTTGTACAAGCTCCTGCTCATCGTCCTGCCCTTCCTGCCTGCTACACATCACACATCCCGAGCCTCTAAGGGTATACAGGCCATTAGCCACAATCAGTTCAGCAACAGAGAGGATGCAGCTACACACAGAAAAAGCCCAGATCCTACAGATCATTAATAAAAAGCCCAAGGAACCAAAAAAAAACAATAACTCATCTTCCCCTTCATCATTCTATAATATAAAATACCGCACAGGGAACTAAAGATGGACTGTCACGATACACTAAATTCATGGTTCCTCAGTCCTCACACTCTTCACCTCACAGTATGTCCTACTTCACCTTTCATAGTCATGTTTTTTTTCCCTTGGGAAAGTTCCCTAACCTCCCCCAAATTGTTGTCTCAGTCAGCACTGCACCATGACAAGGTTTTCTCTAAAACATGAAAATGGAAGATTATCTAAGGTCACCTTTATTTATTTGTTTGTTTCTAAAGACATCATTAACTGCAAGTGACTGTTAAAATATAGTACTTCCCTGACATCAGGTCTCTTAGAAACGTACTTACTGCCTGAAATCAACAATGACTTCCTGCAAAAACCTGAGCCAAGGTTTAGGCATCAGCTCAGACTGTCATTTTACAAAAAGTAAAATAGTAATGCTATGAGCATCTGAACAACAAAAAGTAGAGTTGTTTTTTTAAAGAAAGTTGTTTTTAGATATTCCATATGGAAGATTTTTTTTAAATGGAAGCTGGAGATTGTTTTAGCATTTAATGAAAAATCATGAAAGCCGGCTTGTAGGCTTCTGTCAGCTCAGGAGTATGCCAGAGATGGTGCACTGTCCACAGTAACTCTCAGTCATTTCCCACACCGCGTAAGTAATTCTCCATAAGAAGTACTGCAAAAGCTGCACACGTTCAAGCAATTCTTTGGCTCCAAAACAGAATCTCCAAATTGCAGAGATATTCCATGGGCCCAGAATGCTTCCTTATGCTTTCATTGGAGCATGTTTTCATTTTGAAAGTAGTCTCCTATCTTAGCCCCCACTATATCCTCACAGACTGGCACTTATTGACTCATTGGGTTGTTCACATTTGACAATAAAAATGTAAATACAAGAAAATTAATCAGCTTGTGTAGGATTCCACAGACAACTAGAAACTTTAGAATTGCTTCTGTAACCTTTTCATATTGGGACTGGATCAAGAAGGTTCTAGTAAAGCTATAGTCACCAACCAAAGAAGAAGGTACACACTTCCCCAATGTGGAAAGATTTTAAACTACACACTCCCCCAATGTGGAAAGATTTTAAACTTGTAAAACCATTTGTCAACAGAAGCATCGTGTTTATAGGAACTGATATGCAGTTAACACTTGATTGTCTACGCTAACAAAGAAATGATAGCATTGAATATATAGAAGTATTTTGAAGCTGGATGCAGTGTTTCTTTAGCAAATGACTGACCTAAATTATAGTGATTTTCTTAGGCTAACAAGTTAAAGTATTAAGTACCAACTGCTATTCTGATGCCAAATACACAGAAAAGCCCACAGGTATTAAAGTTGGTAGAGAGGTCTGTAAATTTCTTACAATATACCAGTGACAATTCACATGTTAGTAAATGATAGTTGTTTCTATGTAGAATTCTGTGAATTAACAAGCAAAATTTTAGCCCAAGTCACATAAACTAAGTGAATATATTAGGCAATGGTCTAAAACTTACCTATAATATTTGTCTTTCTTAATTCATGGAATCCAAAGTTCAGTTTCATCCTGCCCCTCAAAAGAAATCTCAGCCTTACCTAGATTTCTAGCACAATCTTTGTGCTAGAATGAAATGCTATTGCCATGGTTTTTCCCTGCAGCATGGCAAACTGAAATGTTGTTTCAAAAGCAGTACAAATATCTATAATTTACTCAATTTTGAAAATACATTTACCACAAGAATTGTACCCGTCAACTCTCATCCTGTCACTCAACTCAGCTATTGTTTAAAATTGTACATTTCCTATGCTGTCACCTCTTAGTTATCCATGGAAACATGTTCTGGATCACAACTGGTCTTCAATATGCTCTAGAGAATCAAGTGGTGCGAGCTTTGAAAATGCATACTAATTTAATATTCAGTGTAGCCAAGCATAAATAAGAAGCTAAATACAGTAATCAGGAAAAAACACAAAACATTTTAGAAAATATAGAATGGTCAAGCTGTTTTGTATCTGATAATAATCCATGCCAGTTTTCTGCTATCTTGGTACAGATCATGACAATATTAATAATATCATTTAATATCATTTAATAAATGAACAGGATCATTCTAGATAATGTGATGAGGGCATTTATGTTCAATAAACCCTCCCCTTCTTAACATGATCACAAGCACGCAGCAATCTGCAATGATGTAGTTCTCAAAATGGAGAAAACAAAGTTTAGAAACACGACAATTAAACTCTAAAAAAATTCCCTAAGAGATTCTTTTCATAAAGAATATGCTTCTGCAAGTGAAGGGTGCTTCTCTAGGAAGAAGGGCTATTTCTATCAAATCAAATACAAATAGGGGCTGGGGATTTAGCTCAGCGGCATAAGCGCCTGCCTTGCAAGCAGGCAGTCGTGAGTTCGATCCCCGGTACCGATAAAAAGGAAAAAGGCAAAAAAAAAAAAAATCTAAATCAGATACTAATATGTGCATATGATTATATTATAGATAACTATTCTTCATGATAAATTAAGTTTAAGTTTTTATTTAATTATCTGCAGTGATACACAGAATTTTTTAAAAATAAATAGGCATACATAGATTTAATTAGAAATGGTCCTGCCTTCCCCTCAGTTAGTGTTACAGTATTAATTATCCTGATATAAGTTAAAACATATTTCAAAATTTGCCCTAATTCATCTCAGAAGCTCAAAAGATTTGTAATTTACAATTTTTACTTTACAGTTTAATGACGAATTTGTAAGCCTAGAGCTATTTCAAATTTTTAAGTCTAGACTTTGGAGTTTCTTAAATGCATTGATGTTATTCATAGATTTAATATTAGCATTTATGTTTCCAAAAGCTCTTAATGAAGCACATTCATTACAAATATGGACTGTTTTAGAGAGTCAGAAAACAAAGAAATCATTTAATCATTTACAAATTTTCGGTTGCGTAGACCTTAAGATTGGTAAAATGTAATAGTCCATAATACCTTGCTCCATGGAAATAGATTTCACTCTACAAGAATTTCTTGGAATGGCACAGGAGCTTTCAGACATCTTCAAAGCAACAAGAATTCTTTGTTCTAAAGAAATCTGATTCAGAACCCTAGTTTATAATCAAGATAAAAGGGAACGGCTCAGATAGATGCCAAAGTGGATATCCAGAAATATATCCACTCATCTCCTCACCTTCTGTACTAGCTAGGAAGCCCAAAAACCCCGACAGAAGAGCACTATGGTTCTGGAGAGCATCGCTGAAAAACACTGCAAAATGTTCTCTTTCCTATTTCAACTATCCATAGCCTTACAACACGACTCAGACAGAGTCCTGCATCCCCCACCCCAAACACATAAATCAATATTCATTGCCATGAACACTTTGAAGATCCTCACCCTTTTGAACTATTGTTCTGTATAGCTTTGCACTGAACTATATGTTACCATATTGTTCTGAAATTTTCTAAACATTACACTTTTGTGGACTCACTGTAAGACAGGACCTGCAGCTAAGAGCTTCATTACCTGCACTGTCTCATTCATTCCGCCAAATGAGCTTGTGAGTAAAGAATTCTTGTTAGGCTCATTTTACACATGAAAAAGCTGGTTCAGAGAGACTGAAGTATATAGTAAATTGTCCTAAGTCACTAGACCGAATGGAGAAAGTGGAGGCGGAACCAGACCCGGAACACGATGTACTTGACAACAAAGCCCTGAGTGACTTTAGGATCAAAGTTTTCTGAAGTTGTCTTTTTCTCTTATTTGAAAATCTTTTTTTTCTTTTCTTGCCATCCCTCCGCCATCATTTAGTCCCCTTTCCATTTGAAAAAGGTTTCCATACTTGCCTTACCTATCCTTTAATTTGTTCTTTCTATTTGGGGATTCTCATGTAAGAGAAACCATGCAGCATTTAAACTTGCTTATATGGTTTATTTCACTTAACATTATAGTCAAAAGGTGCATCCTTTCACCTGTAAATGCCTTAAATATGATCCATGAGCAATTTTGTTATAGGAGCTTTACTAATTTAAATCTGATGAATATTTTGATAGTTTATGAAATGAATTTTCCTTTATAAAGCCAACCTAAATTTCAAACACACATCCCAGGTACTAATTGAAACAATAAACAAATAAAAAAAAGAACTGTACCTCAGCGCTCCAAGAACCTGTTTCTGTCTGGGACACTCGGTATGTATAAATGTAACCTTGATACCTGTGAAAGAATAAATTTTCATTACTAAAAATTCCAAAAGAACAACAAATGATCTAAATTTGAACATACTACTTCATATAAATGTCACACAGCAGGGCACACGTCTCTGGAACCATTGCATTCATAGGAAGAAAGGGCAAGTGACTCTAACTTACTAGCATATTACATACATCTAATCACAGGCTCCAGTGAGCTTTCTTTATCTTGTGTTTTTTAATGTGGAAACTCACACTTCTAAGGATTTGTTTAGTTGAGACACTGTACAGGAAGAAACTAGAGAGCTGTTCTCATTGATAAAAATCATAAATTATTAGACAATTTTAACGAATCATAAGTTTATTTTTTAAGTATTCATAGAGCCTGAAGGTAAAAACATTTCACTAGAATAAGACACTACCATACCCATTTAAAATTATATTAACAATGATAATACAAATTAGAAAAGTAATGTAACTTTAATAGTATAAGTTTATAATACACTAAGACTGTAACTACACTTATAATATCAGTATTGTAAAGTATTATAATACAATAACACTATACCACTGTGTAACAGATTATACTAACATAGTAGTAATAGTAATTTGAATTTAGAAGTATTACATCATAGAATATTATTCAGCCTTTAAAAAGAATTAAACTCTGTCATTTACGGCAACACAGAACTGGAGGACATTACGAATATGTTAAGTGAAATAAGACACAAACAGAAAAATCATATGTTCTCAATTATATGTGGATAATAAAAGTTGGTCTTAAAGAAGAGCAGCATATAATAATGGTTGCCAGATCCTGCAAAGGGTATAGGAAAAAAGGGAGGAGGAGATGATAGTTAATTGCTACAGGAGTGCCTTTCAACAGGAAGAATAATTTCAAATAGTCCATATAGGATAGTAGGATAACTATGGCTGACAGCTATAATAGTGTATTTCAGCATAGCTAGTAGAGAGGATCTTAAGTGTTCTCAACACAAGGAAATGATCAGTGTCTGAGGTTATAGATCCACCAATGAGCCTGATCTGATTGCTACATATTATATACATGTCCCGCAATGCCCAATTCTGGATGTAGGTATGTCAATTACCTTGATCTGATCATTACATGTTGTATACATGTATTGAAATATCACACTATATTCCATAAATTATGGACGTTATGTGTCAATTAGAATATAAAAAAAAAACTCTTAACGAGAAAAAGGGAGTGCTGCCAATGCGCTAGAAAACAGCATGGCCTTTCAAGTGCAGCATTCTCTATTATTCAGTCTATATTCACATTGCATGCCTGTATAATTGATTTCTACTATATGTCAAAAGTTTTACATGTTGCATTAGTTTGCTTAGCTGCCTTAAAACACTACCACAGACTGGGTGGCTTAAATAAAATAAATTTATTTCTCACAGTTCTGGAAGATAGAAGTCCCAAATCAAAGTGCCAACAATGGAGGTTTTATTGAGGTGTCTTCTTTCTACTTCTGAATAGGTGACTCCTATTCCTCAGTGTTCAAGCATTGGGAAAGAGAAAGATTTTTCCCCTTCTTCTTCTTCATTGTCTTCTTCTTCTTCTTCTTCTTCTTCTTCTTCTTCTTCTTCTTCTTCTTCCTCTTCCTCTTCCTCCTCCTCCTCTTCCCCTTCTTCTTCCTCCTCCTCTTTGTCTTCTTCTTCTTCCTCTTCTCCTTCCTCCTCCTCCTCTTTATCTCCTTCTTCCTCCTCCTCCTCTTCCTCCTCCTCATCTTCTTCTTCCTCCTCTTCCTCTTCTTCTTCCTCCTCCTCTTTATCTCCTTCTTCTTCTTCCTCCTCCTCCTCTTCCTCTTCCTCTTCCTCCTCCTCCTCTTCGTCTTCCTCTTCCTCTTCCTCCTCTTTGTCTTCCTCTTCCTCCTCCTCCTCCTCTTCTTCTTCCTCCTTCTCCTCTTTGTCTTCTTCTTCTTCCTCCAATCCTATTAGATTAAAGCTCCATTCTTATGACCTCATTTTACCTTAGTCTAAGATATTTGGGTACACAGTTTACTCCATAGCATTCCTCCCCTAGTCCTACAAAATTTATGCCTTTCTTCCATTCAAAATATATTCATTCCATCCCAATGGTCCCTAAATTCTTAACTCATTGCAACAACAATTTAAAAGTTTTAAATCCAAAGCTTAATCTAAATATCATCTAATCAGACATGAGTGATATTCAAAGACTCATTCACATTAAAGCAAAATTCCTCTCCAGCTGTGAACTTATGAGATCAGGTAAGTTATGTTCTTTCCAAATGCAATGGTAGGATGGACACAAGATGGACATTCCTATTCCCAAAGGGAGAGAACAGTGACAGGTTCCAAGCAACTTCAAAACCTAATAAAGCAAATTATATGAGATTTTTGAAGTTCCAGAATAATATTCCCTTATTGAAAAATCTGCCCTTCAGGTCCAGTTGAACAGCACTGTTACCCTCATTTTTTTTTTTTTGATGAAAGGACAGCCTCACCCAAGCAGCCCTTGGGCCCAGTACTAAGCTTTGAAAGTAAGGTACAGAAGCTTTATCTCTCAGACATATGCACTCTGGGTCTGTGGCATGAGCAGCGGCCTTGATCTCTGAATTGCTTTCTGGGTCACTGCCCCCTTTTCTTGACTAAAGCATGATTTAAATGAAATGCTATACCATACTGTCCTGTTCCATTTGGTACAAACACAGTGTCTCTGTTGCCTTGGTTCAAACTCTACTTCTGGCTTCTGCTGAGATAGCTGGTTAACATCATGGGTAATCTCCTTAAGGACCAATAGTCCAGCCACACCCTTGATGTTTTCTCCACAATTTGCAATAGGCTGAGAACTTTTAAAATCTTTAAGATCTGGTTCATTTTTAATCAACGATTTCTTCTTCAATTCATCTCTTTTCTTTTGCTTTTTACTATAAGCAGTCTAGAAGAGCCAAACCACTCTTTCAAAATTTTCAGTAGAAATATCCTCAGCTGGGGACACTGGGGATATAATTCAGTACAAGAAAAAAAAAGAAAACGAGAGAAAAGGAAGGAAGGAAGGAAGGGAGAAAGGAAGGGAGAAAGGAAGGGAGAAAGGAAGGAAGGAAGGAAGGAAGGAAGGAAGGAAGGAAGGAAGGGTAGCAGGGTGGGAAGGGATGAATCTCTTCTGCTAAATGTCCAGTTTCATTGCTCAAAAACTATATTCTACAAAATACTAGAACAGACTTCAACCAAATTCTTTGTTACTTTATCATAAAGATCATCTTTCTTCCAGGTTTCCAAAACATGCTTCTCATTTCCATTTGAGATCTCACCAGAATAATCTTTAACATCCATAGTTCTACCAGCATTTTGTTCATGGCAATCCAGGCTTTTATATAGTGTGCATATCAGAATTCCCCAGCCTCTACCCATTTCCTAGTTCTAAAGCCACTTCTACATTTTTCAGTATTTGTCACCGCCTACTCCACTTCCCAGTGCCAAAATCTATATTACTCTGCTGAGGCTACCATAACAAAATATCATCAATTTAAATGGTATAAATTTGTTTCTCATGGCTCTAGAACCTGAGAAGTTCAAGATAAATGTGTCAGTGGGTGGATTTCATTTTAGGGCCTCTTTTTTTGGCTTATGGGTAGCTACACTCCTAAGGTGGGCTCACTTGACTTCTTTGTATTTATGTTCTTCCTCTTCTTATAACATCACCAATCCTATCAGATTAATATCCAATCCTTACAAACTCCTTTAACCTTGATTATTTCCTACAGGTCTTCTCTAGAAATATAGACACACATGATTTTTTGAAGAATACAATTTAGCCCATAGTATATAGTTATCTCTTCTGGACCCCACAAAAAATCTTATCCCCTTTATGTTATGAAATTTGTTTTATAGATGGGGAAACTGAAAATAATCAAAGCCACAGAAGAGATCAAACAGCAAAGATGAGAACTGAATCAGCCCCATGTGACTCTAGCGCTCCAGTTCTTGACCCTCACACTGTAACTGATACATAGATTTATGATATTTTAGTAAATATTGTAATGTTACCTAATTTACCTACTTAATTTTAAAATTTTTTAGCAATTAAATTTAATGAGTACATAAAAATATAACATGGTGTGTATTAATTCAACACCACATGATATTTTGATACACACATATAGATTACATAATCTTTAAATCAGTCATACCTATGTACTCAAACCCTCTCATTTCTTTATCATAAAAACCTTTGAAGTCCTTTCTTACAGAATTTTGAAACGGTCTTTATAAGCACTCTCCCACACAACAGCGCAGCAGACCTTCCTGGTCCTATCTAACTATAATTGAATACCGACCGTCAAGCGCTCTGTCCCTCCTTCCTCCCTGTTTGCCCAGCGTCTGGTACATACCATTCTACTCTCAACTCCTATGGGTCAACTGTTTAGATTCCATATGAGTGAGATTGTGCAATACTTGTATTTTTGTGCCAGACTTATACCACTTAACATAATAATCTTCAGGTCCATCCATGTCATCGTGAATGAATGACAGGATTTCCTTTATTTACAAGTGAGTAGCATCTCATTGTATATATTGTGAGTACCACATTTTCTTTATCTATTCATCATTTGGTGGACATTTATAGTGCTTCCATCTCTTAGCTGTTGTGAGTGGGGAGTGCAGGGTCTCTTAGACATACTGAGTTCATTTCCTTTGAGATGGAATTGCTGTGTCACATGGCAGTTCTGTTCTTAACTTATTGAGGAAAAGTCAAACTGTTTGCTATAGGCCTGTACTAACTTACATTCCCACCACATCCTGGCTAGCACTTGTTAACTTTGGTCTTTTTGATAATACACATTCTTATTGTGTGAGGCGATCTCTTGGAGATTTTGTTTGCATTTCTCTGATGATAATGAATACTTTTACAATTTGCTTAATAAACTACTTCAGCAAAAACAAAATTTCTAATACATAACATTTTATTTGGAAAATTTAAAAAATAATGAATTTAAAATTTTGAATCTGAATATGAATCAACATGGTTTTATT